AGGATATTACTTGGATTCAGTATTGTATGGAATATCTTCTGATATTACCCTATTGCAATCTCCGTAATAACAGTACTAATTCATAAAGGATATTACTTGGATTCAGTATTGTATGGAATATCTTCTGATATTACCCTATTGCAATCTCCGTAATAACAGTACTAATTCATAAAGGATATTACTTGGATTCAGTATTGTATGGAATATCTTCTGATATTACCCTATTGCAATCTCCGTAATAACAGTACTAATTCATAAAGGATATTACTTGGATTCAGTATTGTATGGAATATCTTCTGATATTACCCTATTGCAATCTCCGTAATAACAGTACTAATTCATAAAGGATATTACTTGGATTCAGTATTGTATGGAATATCTTCTGATATTACCCTATTGCAATCTCCGTAATAACAGTACTAATTCATAAAGGATATTACTTGGATTCAGTATTGTATGGAATATCTTCTGATATTACCCTATTGCAATCTCCGTAATAACAGTACTAATTCATAAAGGATATTACTTGGATTCAGTATTGTATGGAATATCTTCTGATATTACCCTATTGCAATCTCCGTAATAACAGTACTAATTCATAAAGGATATTACTTGGATTCAGTATTGTATGGAATATCTTCTGATATTACCCTATTGCAATCTCCGTAATAACAGTACTAATTCATAAAGGATATTACTTGGATTCAGTATTGTATGAAATATCTTCTGATATTACCCTATTGCAATCTCCGTAATAACAGTACTAATTCATAAAGGATATTACTTGGATTCAGTATTGTATGGAATATCTTCTGATATTACCCTATTGCAATCTCCGTAATAACAGTACTAATTCATAAAGGATATTACTTGGATTCAGTATTGTATGGAATATCTTCTGATATTACCCTATTGCAATCTCCGTAATAACAGTACTAATTCATAAAGGATATTACTTGGATTCAGTATTGTATGGAATATCTTCTGATATTACCTGCTATTATGCAGTCTGTTCATTTGTTTATTGTAAAGTCTATAAGATTTAAACTTTAAATTTTGCGTTCTTTATAGTTACATCAAGCTAATAGTCTTATGTATGTGTGATATGGTGAAACATAGAGGTATATGTCTACAAGCGCATGTGTACACGTATATGTATATGTTTATGTATATATGCATGGAGGCGCTGGTTTGGTAATGTACCGTGTAATGTGTGACTTGTGTACAGTATGCTTGTGCATCGTGGTATTTGCAACATTAGATACAGTTATTTAAACTTATTATTGTATGTACATTTTATTCTTATTATTGAAATTTCCTTGTAAGGAGAGGTGTTCCAATATGCTTTAAATCTACCATAATTTGTAATGAAAGTATGGACAGATAAAAAAATATATATATTTATTTATTTATTTTAGATGATTGGCCTTCACGTAAAGAACTCTATTAACATGATATCTTTGGTATGATATATAATAAATTGCCTCTTATGTGATCATGATTGTAACAACCAAAAACGTAATATTGCGGACATCATAGTAGTGACCACAGAGAAAACTTGAGTTGTCAGTTATGAATATATCGAATTTGTGTCCGATTTGGTCACGACATCAAAGTCAGTGGATAATTGGACAGAATCTGATTAAAAAATGAATTGAAAATTTGAATATGAGTCAGTAGATTAAATGTTTTCAGATAGATTCCATAATTTTGTAGAAATAGGTATAACAAATTGTGCATTCTGTTCAGTCTCACATCTAATTATTTGGAGGTATGTGGAGTTTCTAAGACTGTTATCACTGCGAGTTGACTACGCGTGCACTATCCATGCATAAAACCCGACTGTGAGTGTAATATCATTACATCTAAGAAATCTATTGACATACTTCTCGAATGTCTTGGCTAAGCATGAACAGGTCTGTAGTTGGTACAATTATTAAATATCACCCTTTTTTTGTGAAAGGGTGTCACGTGTGTGTGTTTTCACATGTCAGGAAATACAACATTAGGGATAGACAAAATACATATTTCTGTAACATATTTGGATAAATAAACAGTTTCCAATACCATCAGTAGCTTTAGCAATATCAACAGACATCACGACAACACATAACTCTTTCTGAGAGACCACTATATCACTTAGCTTACATCGTAGATTTTATTCTGATAAAACAGAGGGTCTATTTGGTTTGTCAACCGTGCCTGTTCACAAAACTACTCATTAAAAATATTGGCTATTCCAACATCTGTATCATGAACAGAATCTTTAACATGTATTGGCGTTCGCTCGTCACGCCGAAGACCCGGGTTCGATTCCCGACATGGGTACAATGTGTGAAGCCCATTTCTGGTGTCCCCCGCCGTGATATTGCTGGAAAATTGCTAAAAGCGGCGTAAAACCATGCTTACTCACTCACTCACTCATTTAACATGTATTGGCGGAACGGAAGAAGCCATTGCCTTAGATCTGGGATAACTCATAACAAGATGCCACCATGTTTAACTCCCCGTGAACTATTTATTCTGATGTCTATTTGATTTGCATGATCATGTCGTGCTTTGCTTACCATCAATATAACCTGATTTCTTAGCTGTCTAACTGTGCGCAATGACTTGGTATGTTAAGAGATTTCGCTATCCTATGCTTTCTCTTTCGCATATTGGAGACCCGTGAAGATCCGGGGTAGAGTAGGTCTTCAGCAACCCATGCTTGCCAAAAAAGGCGACTATGCTTGTCGTAAGAGGCGACTAACGGGATCGGGTGGCCAGGCTCGCTGACTTGGTTGATGAATGTCATCGTATCCCAATTGCGTGGATCGATGCTCATGATGTCAATCACTGAATTGTCTGATCCAGACTCGATTATTTACAGATCGCCGTCATATAGGCTGAATATTGCTGAATGCGTTAAACAAAAAAAAAAAAATCAAATATGGGAACGTATTCGACTATGCATATGCAAATACAGATAGAATCAAGAACTCCAGACTTCACAACTCTGTTTCCATGTTTTGTGAAAATTAAGTCAATTATGTCCTGGAATGTGACGTGATTCGGGCTAGCTCTGTAATTATCTGCCTAAGCCATGCGTGTCCTCCATGTTTAAGACAGCTGCCTTCTGCTTTCAGATTAATAATATAAAAATCACCTGTAAATATTGTGATTACACTAAGATCGACATTATTACTAATAAATTCTTATACAATATGAAAAAAATCTTTCAGTTTAAACATATTTTATTCAACTTAACTTGAAAGGGATTGGAAAACAAGCTTAATTGACGTATGCAAATACCACTTCCTGTTTCATTATTACATTTGTGTAGACATCAAAACTTTAAGGTCAAGAAACAATTCAAATTATCTTGTAAGAAGACCACTAATGTTACAAAGACTACTTCGGCCATGTGCATATATAAGCTTTATATATATTTATAGTCAATGTACAAACCTACCACTAATTTCTTTTATGTCTGGAAAGATCCAGACAAACATATGTAGTGGTTGATATATCTGGTTATATTTCTGTTGACAAATAATACTATTTTCAGATCAAAACCCTTTGTGTGGTAGTTTTTCTAATGCCACGACAGGTACCAGAGTGCAGCAGTCTTTATTTTGTGTAACCGATCGACAGGCACCGAACTGAAACACATGCATCCTCAGGAGATGTAGTTTTATCTCCCAGTATTTTTATTCTTTCTCTGAATCTCATAGATTCCGTCTGCCGTCATATTCCTGTAATATTGCTGAGTGCGGCGTTAACAACAAACAAACAACCAATCAATCATAAATCCAATATTGTTTGGTTCCATGGCTGCGTTATTGATTGTGTGAACAAGAGTCTTCTTGGAGATATCGATGCAATGCAATTGCAGCACAAGTCTTTGAGACAATTGTCTACCCCTACGCCAAGCCAAAGTTCCATCAAAGCAGACAACAGGCAGGTTTGCAGACATTAGAGATTCTGATTTTGATAATATCTATGCAAAACAATTGGGAAAGACATTTAAGCAAGAAGTAGGTATTCCCGTGGGAACTAACTGTGTTCCCCTTCTTGTTGATCTGTTTCTTTATGCGTATTAATCGGGATTTCTGCTCGTTCAATAACCATCAATTAGCCAATTCTACTCCACTGATTTACGCACCTGAACTAGAAATAAAGTAGACTGGTCAAACTGCTTCGTCTGTTTCATATTAAGAGCTCTGGATTAAGACTCATAGTGACTCATCACAGGACTGTCTGACAAGAGTGATGACTTCAACTTTCCAATAGTCAACTTTCTCTTTTTGTTTAGCAATATTTCCACAGCTCCAGCCGTTGGTGTCTATTTAGTTAGTTAGGTACAATGGAACATGGTTTACTTCCAACATCTCAAAGAGCGTCATACGACTCTTTCTTAAACGGGGGCACGGGTGGCCCAGTCATCTAAGGCGCCGCAATTCGCTGTGCAGAGTTGCGTCCCTTGGGCATGCCAGAAACCTATGATTGTGGGTTCGAATCCCGGTTCGCCCCGATTATGTTTCTAGGTTTGTCAGCACCATACCCGTGCTCGTGGGTTTCACTGAACTGGTAAACGTCTAAGACCTGCATCACTTCGGGCTTTCCTCCCACATTAAGCTGACACGCCGTGATATGACTGGAATACTGTTAAAAGCGGCGTTAACCCCAACTCACTCACTCACTTTCTTAAACGTTTTCCTTATCAAGATTACAACACTCGCATGATGTCCGATGTCAGTCCCCATTGTTATTTGAACTATATGTTCCCGTGTTTTTTGACGCGAACAATTGACTTACCTTTGCATGTGTTTGTGATGTAGCCACCGGTGGGGCAGGATATGCTCAACCTTGCGACACCTGGTACATCACTATGTGATAGTGATTCATAAATACATGCTCATATAGTGGAAAATGTACAGTTCACTCAAAGGTTTATTTTGTGAATATCGAAACGGTTTTGTCGTTTTTATGTTATTATTAATACCTCTGTACTTCAGCAGGCACATTACAGACGGCTACGGCAGGGACACGTCATGGTACCCGCTATACCGTGTACACATTGGACAAAAAGCAAAGTGAAGCTCGTGTCTTCTGTGAAGAAAGGGGAGACAATCTTCTCAGCTTTCAGTCTGAAGAGAAATTGAACCGATTCCTGGACATCAGTAAACCTTGGCTCTCGAAACAGTTATTGTAAGTTCGTCAATGTTTTATTTTATTTTTAATTTGTTCCCTTATTCTCATTGATTAGTAAATCTCCGTTGGGTTCCGTGACTGCTTTATTCAAATCGTAAAAGGCGACTATGCTTGTCGAAAGTGGCGACTAACGGGATCGGGTGGTCAGGCTCACGGACTTGGTTGATGCACATTATCGTATCCCAATTGCGTGGATCGATGCTCATGATATTAATCACTGGATTGTCTGGTCCAGACTCGATTATTGACAGACCGTCGTCATATAGCTGGAATATTGCTGAGTGCGGCGTTAAACAACAAACAAACAAACAAACAAAACATTTCGTGAATAATACTTGCCCATTTTAAATATCCAATATAAAAACATTGCTTTAAACATGCTCAGTGTTATTACAATGTAGCAGATTCTTCTCTTGCAGACAGCTTTCTCTTGTATTTGCTGGCGCTGTGAGGGCGACAGAAATATTATACAGTTAAAACCAAACATTTTCTGGTACCCGTAATTAATATTTATCAGGAGAACATTTCATTCGTTACCAAAGGCCAAAGTACAATAATAAGACAACATAACATTCTTTGTTGCTAATAGTTGACTGAATTATGTTCTTCAGGGATATATGTAATATGATATATGAGTGAGTATGGTTTTACGCCGCTTTTAGCAATATTCCAGCAATACCACGGCGGGGGACACCAGAAATTGGCTTCACACATTGTACCCATGTCGGGAATCGAACCCGGGTCTTCGGTGTGACGAGCGAACGCTTTATATTTTCCTTATGAAATAGACAAACTTGAAAGAAATGGTGTGCATTTTCAACAGTATTGTGCTTATATTTTTTGCATTTAAGTAAAGCAGTATTGACTTTTTAAATAATCCGTCCCTCAATCAAACTGAATAAGCTGTATATACCAACAGCAACAGTTGAGTCTGCCTACAATTTGCATAGTTATGAAACATGTGCCTGTGAAATACGGAGTTTTATCGTTAAGTTGGTTGGTTGGTTGGTTTGTTGTTTACGCCGTACTCAGCAATATTCCAGCTATATGACGGCGGTCTGTAAATAATCGAGTCTGGACCAGACAATCCAGTGATTAATATCATGAGCATCGATCAACGCAATTGGGATCAATGACATGCATCAACCAAGTCAGCGAGCCTAACCACCCGATCCCGTTAATCGCCTTTTACGATAAGCATAGTCGCCTTTTACGGCAAGCATGGGTTGCTGAAGACCTGTTCTACCCCGGAATCTTCACGTGTCTTATCGTTAAGGGAAATACTCACTTAGGATGATACATAAGTTTGATTTGTGCTGAGTACAGGCATCGTGGGGCGGTGCTCGTACTATCAATCACTTGTTTGTCTAGTCCAGACTGGATTATTTACAGGTAGCAATCATTATACAGCTGGAATATTGCTAAGATCCTTATCTCACGACGAAGACTATATTGCATAATTTTAGATGTTTTGTACCGAAAATAACGTCAAACTTCGTTTTCAGAACTAACAGCTTCTGGGTTAGTTTAAAGAAGGACTCCTCGTCGTTTTTGTGGCATGATCGTACTGAATATAAAGACGACTATTCTAATCTTACTATGAAAGTTAACCAGTCGGAAAAACAATGTTTCGTTTTCTCACAAGATGGGAATGGATTCGACCTGATAGAGAAAGACTGCTTCGATAAAACATATCAAGTTATCTGTGAAAGAGACCTGGGTGAGTACATATTCTCTTCATAATGCGTCCACAAAAACCTCCTTAATCTGGACGGCCCCGACTTGCAAAAATTATCGACGAATGGGAGTTGTTTATCGTAAATAGAAAACACTGCAGGGAGAATACACCAAAAAGGATCTTACGTGTATATGAGATATCAAGATTTTTACAGTCTTTTTAAGGATGTCAGTACATTGTACAAGCTTTTAAGACATTGCCCGCATTTAAATAATGAATGAGTGAGTATGTTTTTTCGCCGCTTTTAGCAATATTCCAGCAATATCACGGCGGGGGACACCAGAAATGGGCTTCACACATTGTACCCATGTCGGGGATCGAACCCGGGTCTTCGGCGTGACGAGCGAACGCTTTAACCACGAGGCTACCCGACCGCCCCTTTAAATAATGATGACTCCCTTAATACACTACCATCTCGGCAATGTCGGACAGCTCCATTTTATGTACAGGGGGTTAACTTTGGTATTCTCACAAATGTCACGTCGATAATCTGCACATTTCCTCCTGCCAATTTTGGGAGCGATCGTTCGGTCATGGCGTTCATCTGCGTTGTCAGCTACATCTATGGAGAACAACTCTCTATGAACACGTCTTTGTCAAAAAAACGTCGTCCAATATCCGAGGTCATCAAGTAGAGAGCGCAAGTTCGAATCTCCAAACATGGCGTCGTTCTTCATCTGCGATTAATCGCGTAGCTATTTTATATAATGATATCAATAGTGGATATAAAATCGTTCGCTGTACGTTTACATCTGGCGAGTTTAACTTCTTCAGTACAGGTACGTACAGTTAAAATGAACGATTTTGGCGAGCACTCTGATTCCCTTTTCCAAAATGGTACAGACAGGATATAAATGCATCTGATAGATCAAGGAACATGAACTAGTGCGAGTGACCGACTGTAGGTCCGATATTCAAAGAGCGGCGTTGTTTACATTTTCTGTCAGTTGTTAGGCGTATTTGCACCATGCGCCTGACGTACCATCTGCCATCAGTTTATGAAATTCTCAAATACATATTTTGAGCGTTGCTGCTGTCGTGTTTGCACATACAATAGCAGGAAATTTAGCTAATGCACAGTAATGCTAATATGCCCAGACACTCAGACGCACAACTGACACACACACACACGCACGCACGCGCACGCACGCACGCACGCACGCACGCTTGCACGCACGCACACATACACACACACGCACATATACACCAGACATGTACACACACACACACACACGCACGCACGCACGCACGCACGCACGCGCGCACACCAACATACGCACACATACACCAGACATGCACACACACGCACGCACGCACACACGCATTTTTTGTGACAGCAGAAGAAACAACTTGTCAGGTCAATCAGGTGTACAGCAAGGTGGACATATATCACACCTTCTTTTTCCCTTCAGGCCTGTGTCCTTTTGAAGTCTTCTCGGACACAAAATACAGGTCTAATGCCAACATCATGAAAACTGATGTCGGCAAACTTGAGATGGAGACCTGTCAACGTCGTTGTCTAGATCACAGTGTCAGCGGTGAGGAATGCATTGGTGTTGAGAGGGACGGTAACGGCACGTGTGATCTACTGACAGGAGATGATGTTTCCCCTAATTCTGTTCCCACATCTGTGGAGTCTGGGACAACTCTTTCAATTAAGAGGTGTTATGAAGGTATTTTTATTCTTTTCTTTGTGATTACAATAAAATGATATGTTAAATAAGAATATAAAGTACATCTCAGGGACACCGGGGACGCAGAATTGGATATGGAAGAGTGGAAGTAGTTTGAGCCCGGTATCAAATAATCTGATATAGAACAGGGGGAGTAGTTTGAGCCTGGTATCCAAGAATTGGATATAGAATAGGGGGAGAAGTGTGAGCCTGATACTCAAGAATTAGATGTAGGGCACAGGAAAAGTATAGTGATTTAAGAAAGGCACCTTGACTTTTTCCAAATATAGCTAAATATAAAACTGTAATAAAATAACTGGTACTATTGGGGATTGTTCTTAACCTGACATTTCAGAATAGCAAATGAGGAAGAGGGCTTGAAAACCTTAATAATACAAGATATGTATGATCTTTTCTGTAAGCATTTTAGACCCGTCAAGATCCGGGGTAGAATAGGTTTGCTGTAACAAGCGCCTATTTGTGTCGTAGGAGGCGACTAACGGGATCGGGTGGTCAGGCTCGCTGACTTGGTTGATGCATGTAATCGTATCCCATTTGCGTGGATCGATGCTCATAATGCCAATCACTGGATTGTCTGGTCCAGACTCGATAATTTACAGACCGCCGTCATATAGCTGAAATATTGCTGAAATATTGTTGACTCCCTTGGTGCATGTTAATTAGACAAGAGCCCCACGTGCTAGGACAAATAACGGATTGTGTAACAGAATGTAGAAAATTATTGGGAGTTTGTTGATAACAAGATGGACTATGAGCTCAGTCAGTCTGTTTGTGTGAAGACGTCACATTCTTGCTTTAGTGAGTTTGTTTCTATATTGATATGGCGATACATTTTTCAGTGCCTCTTGACGAAACATAAAACTGATGGCATTATTGCTGTGTACTAGCCAAGCAGCATGCACCAAACATTATAAATTAATGCTTGTTAAGGCTTATTGGGCAAATCGATGTCTGCAGGCGAAATGGAAACCCAAACACAGACAGGATACCAACGAGTAAATATCACCTGTTTGAGGAACCAGTTAAGCGTCATTAGTACGAACCCTTTTAATCCAGATGCCACTGGCTTCACGTCGTGTACGGTTTGGAACATGTGCATTGTATGTTTACACAAAAGGCCATAATACCACAGCTATAAATTGTTAATCCTCACATGTATTAAAACCAGTTTCACTCGCAAAAGACCCCAGTTTTCACCGATTGACATGATTATTATTATAGATTTGATAGTTCTGTAGGGACATTATATATTTCTAAGTCGTTTTCCATACGTCTTTGGTACCTTCCTCGGGCATCTAAGAAATACGACATTGACTTATATATCCTATGTTTACCACAGGGATTTTATCTACGTCATTGTGACGCTGCTTCTATATCATATAATCAAATATTAAGGACATTTGTTCGACGACAAGATGAACATCACACATTCCGCGGCTATTAAGGTCATGCGCATGGAGATCACTTTTCAAGGTTTAATATAGGACTGAACGCATGCGCAGTAGCATGAAGAACGCGAACATATTTTAAAGTCGAGTTGTTTGCCTTTGTGTTGAATCACAGACAACTTTGGAAATTGGGGAGGATGATGCATATCGATCTAAACATTTGGAATATTCCCGTACCGAATAAAATGTTGGGTTTTCATTTAAATGAGCAGAGAAAAGGTATATAAAAATACTTCCAGAAGAAACAAAACGTTTTGTAAGATGTCTGTGTGTGTGAATGTAATGGCATAGAAAAGTCGAAGAGATAGGTTTGCTCCTGACTAAAACACTTGTAAAGTGAATGTGAAACATGTCCGATTTTCTGAAATGGGTGACAACTATCTTGTTTCTTTCTTAATACACACTTGCAAATACACGGAAATGGGTAAATGAGTGAAAAGGACCGAACGTCAACACAAAAGCTTGTCAGTCTTTGACCCAAGATGTTTTTTCTGCCATATGTTTGAACTGTCTTCCCCTAAAAAATCATGTTCAAACATTCAGAAAATAACTCATGAGAACCAATAAAATAAGTTCTTTTCATAAAAAAGTATTTAACGTGTATCTTAAATACGACATTGTGCAGACCCCATGGGCCCAAAAATACATAGATTTAGACTTAATAAAAAGCTGTCAACGAAGGACAGTACAATAACTAGAATATCACAGATTCGATTTAAAACTAGTTGAGAATATATAAAAGCCATAAGTATAAGTGAACAACCCTATATAAAAATGGGCTAGGGATCGTCAGTAACTAAAGGGAGATCACCATACTAGGGACCATGGGGACTTACAGTGCCTTTGCTTCCTGCATGGACAATTCAGAATCAAATTCACATTGTGGTACTAAATATGTTCAATTTTCAGTTCCTGGTTCCTGAAAGCGTTAGTTATTGAATTCTTACTTTATTCCTTAACATGAACTCGAACAAAATATGAATCTCATATTGAAGCAAGACATCATACAATGTATGTATTTGTGTGTCCTGATTCCAGTTGTATACGAGTATTTCAGAGCATGCAAGCCACAAGAGAGTTGGTGGATTAAAGTACTTTAAACAATATTTAAGTTTACACTGTCAGCTCACTTTCAGATGGCAGCTAAAAGTGAAGCAGATCTTTGACGTTTGCCATAATGGTCAAAGCCACGAACACAGAAAACGTGCTTTCAAATCAAGAATCATAATTTAGGCAAATCTGAGATTCGGGTACACAACCATACGTTTCTGGCACAACTTCGAAACTACTGCGGCATCCGTGTCTGCGTAACAACTAGAAATTTAATACTAAAAGTACTAAACTTGTCATTCCACTTGCGAGTCTTTCTATTATTCACGGACAAAAGAATATTTTTATGTTTCAATCACAATTTCCAGACGTGCTTATCTTTCTCTTTTGTGCATATATAAAGAACATTTCGGTGGCAACCCGAGTCAAGCGACCATGTTCACCTTGTACAGTTTTAAACTGACCTGGGACCAGACTCGGGCTTTCTGCGAATACACCAAGCAACGCATGATCCAGCTGGACAGTCCAACGAAGCTTTCTGCCTTCAACGATTTCCACAAGCAGTGGGTTGATCGGGAACTTTTGTAAGTATTTCAAAGTTGTTGTTGGTTTGTTGTTGAACGCCGCACTCAGCAATATTTCAGCTATATGACGGCGGTCTGTAAATAATCGAGTCTGGACCAGACAATCCAGTGATTGATATCATGAACATCAATCCACGCAATTGGAATCGATGACATACATCAACCAAGTCATCGAGCCAGATCACCCGATCCCGTTAGTCGCCTTTTACGACAAGCATAGTCACCTCTTACGGCAAGCATGGGTTGCTGAAGACCTATTCTACCCCGGAATCTTCACGGGTCTATTTCAAAGTATTGAAATTGTAGTATTCATTGTATCATGCACATTAATGGATTTGATTATCTCAGTGGACGGGGAATCGGAAAATATATCATTTTAGCCACGCCAGAAACATCTCGAGTTCTATTTTCATTCCAGTTCTGACACTTCTTCAGAATGTTGTTTACTGGGTTTAATCGCGTTCACCCAGAACATCTCCAGGCAAGCAAGTAAATTATTCATGACGAACGTGAACCATATATCGTTAACAATTTGTATGTATGCTGAAAGTATTGCACGAACTCGTTTGTCTGCAGTTGTTCTGTTTGTTTTTGCAAGAAAAACCGATTCAAAGTCTTAGCTGCCATTCCACTAGATGTGGCTGCACTCTTATGATTCAGTCCGGAGACACTTACATAAATATGACGATATTTAAACAGGATTCCTTGCCACACCAAACAAAAAACATTTGTGATCGGCCGTCCTGTAAAATTATGCATAAATGACTCCCCAAGAGGATAAGAAATCAATAACCGGTTAATTTTAATCATATTTTCTTGATCGGCTTTCTGAAGAAATTGTAGAAATATATAAATGACCAATAGGTTCTTAGTGTTTCAGTTGACTTCAATATCTACGTTTCTGTAAAATTAAAAGGAAAATAACCGTAAATAAATAAAATCATCCTTTTGCCCGGTGGTTGCTGCTGAGATGGTTTCACTCATATGGGGGGCACGGGTGGCCCAGTGGTCTAAGGCGCCGCGATTGGCTGTGCAGAGTTGCGTCCCTTGGGCACACCAGAAACCTATGATTGTGGGTTCGAATCCCGGTTCGCCCCAATTATGTTTCTAGGTTTGTCAGCACCATACCCGTGCTCGTGGGTTTCACCGAAGTGGTAAACGTCTGAAACCTGCATCACTTCGGGCTTTCCTCCCAAATTAAGCTGACACGCCGTGACTGGAATTGTGTTAAAAGCGGCGTTAAACCCAACTCACTCACTTACTCACTTCACTCATATACTCTTCCTGGAACGCTGGTCGTAAGAGGGAATTCATAGATCGGATGGCTAATCGCGGCATGTGGATCATGGGACATCAGCGGCGTTGTTTGTTTGTCATAATATCAGACCCGTGAAGATCCGGGGTAGAATAGGTCTTCAGCAACCCTTGCTTGCCTTAAGGCGACTATGATTTACGGACCGCCGTCATATAGCTGGGAGGCAGTGGTTAAAGCGTTCGCTCGTCACGCTGCAGACCCGGGTTCGATTCCCGACATGGGTACATTTTGTGAAGCCCATTTCTGGTGTCCCCTGCCGTGATATTGCTGGAATATTGCTAAAAGCGGCGTAAAACCATACTCACTCACTCACTCACTCATATAGATGGAATATTGCGGCGTTAAACAAAAAACCAACCAATCATAATATCAATCACTGGTTTGCCGGTACAGAATCGATAATTACATATAACTAAATATTGCACAGTGTTGGCGTCAAGCAACACATTTACAAAATCGAACATGTTTACGACTGTTTGAAAATGTATGTTACATATTAACGATTATTTGTTGCAGATTCTCTTCCATCTGGATAGGCCTCCGTGACACAAACATAAGTGGACTGGGAGCCTACAACTGGACGGACGAACAACCTATTTCTACTGTAACCAGATGGGGACGCAAAGAACCTAGGCAGTCCGATACTGAACAATGCATTTTCCTGAGGAAAAAGAACCGTAGTTGGAGATCTGCCGTGTGCTCCAGAAGGTACCAAGTCGCCTGCGAACATTCAACAGGTACTATCGTGTATCCAATAAACATGTACCTTGCATTGTGTAATATATCTTTTTCAGCGAGCACAGAAAAGAACTACTGAATTATCTCCCTGTATTTTTGCATGCTAGTGCTTCCGGTTTCGGTTTGAGTTCTAGTTGTGTAATATCTGAGTGAGTGATTTGGGTTTAACGCCACTTTTAACAGTATTCCGGTTATATCACGGCGTGTCAGCTTAATATGGGAGGAAAGCCCGAAGTGATGCAGGTCTCAGACGTTTACCACTTCGGTGAAACCCACGAGCACGGGTATGGTGCTTACAAACCTAGAAACATAATCGGGGCGAACCGGGATTCGAACCCACAATCATAGGTTTCTGGCGTGCCCAAGAGACGCAACTCTGCACAACGAATCGCGTCGCCTAAGACGACTGGGCCACCAGTGCCTTCTGTAATATCTGAATATTCTGTGTAAATGTGTCTATGTTGTTAGAAGGATATAACTACAATATGTAACCAGACTACTTACATTGTACATCCTGGTTTACGTGTGTGGATATACTAGTACATCCATGATATTTCCATTACATTTTGTGAGACACAGGTGTCCCCGTTGTCCAAGGCGCCGATATTCACTGTACATGTGAGGTGAGGTGGAATGGGGTTTAACGTCGCGTCAAAGATTATTGCACTTATATAGCGACGTGCATGCACGTGTGCGTGTGTGTGTGTGCGTGTGTGTGTGTGTGTGTGTGTGTGTGTGTGTGTGTGTGTGTGTGTGTGTGTGTGGCTGCTTGTACTAGTACGGACTCATGCCGATTTATAGTGCTAGCTCACTGAGATACCATGCCGCAGTTTAACATGAATACCCCACTCAGACACAGTATACTGACTCCGAGCCGACCAGTCCTTGTTTTAGCCCCGTAATGCCAAGCGCCAGACAGGATAACAACAAGTTCCATCTTTTAACGTCTTTTGGTATGACGCGGCCGGGGATCGTGCCCCGGACTTTCCGCTCTCCGGGCGGACGCTCTACCCCTAGACCACGGAGGCGGTCTTTCACTGTACAGTGTAGGGTCCCTCCCTGAGAAGGCTTTTTTAATGCTCACATGACATCAGCAAAACTTATTTGTAGATAATGGACACGGAAAGTCAGTTCTCAATGTGGAATCTCCTCTTAATCAAATTGTTTCATATCATCTTAAGACAAGCTCTCACAAAGCTCTCATAATTTTATGAATGAATTTGAACGAAATCGCAATATTGACCAGGAAAAATGGACTATGTGCCATACAGAAAACGAATACACAATTCTGTTTGATGCGATGCCTGGTAATATTATAACACCATGTTATGCATGTGATGTTCTATAGACCAATGAGCTTAAACCTCACGAATAAACATTGAAGAAAAACGCATTAGCGCAAACCTGTTTGAGAAATAATCAAGCTTTGTTTATTAGGAGTCACCGCCTCCGGGGTCTAGTGGTAGAGCGTCCGCCCGGAGAGCGGAAGGTCATGGTTCCGATCCCCGCCCGCATCATACTAAAAGGCGTTAAAAGATGGTACTTGTTGTTACCCTGTCTGGCGCTCGGCATTAAGGGGCTAAAACAAGGACTGGTCGGCTCGGAGTCAGAATACTGTGTCTGAGTGGGGTATTTGTGTTAAACTGCGGCATGGTATCTCAGTGGGCCAGCACTATAAATCGACATCAGTCCGGACTAGTACAAGCAGCACACACACACACACACACACACACACACACACACACACACACACACACACACACACACGTCGCTATATAAATGCAATAATCTTGGACGCGACGTTAAACCCAATTTCACCTCACCTCATTAGGAGTCACCTTCTTGTCTTTTATCAGAGGAATGCAGTTTCAATGAGACGACCATGGCACCTGTGGAGACCCCGTCCAATACAACGACAGGTGGCACCGAGATGGAATGTCAGCAGGAGTGTCGGACCCAGGCCTGGGAGGGCTTCGAATGCTCGCTGTATATTTATGATGACGTGACCAGAATGTGTAGTCTATATTCTGGCACACTCACCTTAGCAGCTTCTACAGGTCAAGCCAAGAAGAAAACCTGCTTCTTTGGTAAATTAATACTCTCTCGTCGATAAATAGAGCTAGCCCTCACAATTCATCGTGTTGCAGGTTAACAAGGAGAGCATACTCCGACACATTATACACATTATACAGTCATTGTTTTATACCTAAAGGAAAAGCAAGAGGAGAAGTGAGTGTGAGTGAGAGAGTTGGGTTTAACGCCGCCTTTAACACTATTCCAGTTATATCGCAGCGTGTCAGCTTAATGTGGGAGGAAAGCTCGAAGTGATGCAGGTCTCAGACATTAACCACTTCGGTGAAACCCACGAGCACGGGTATGGTGCTGACAAACCTAGAAACATAATCGGGATTCGAGCCAACAATCACTGGTTTCTGGCTCGCCCAAGGGACGCAACTCTGCACAGCGAATTGCGGCGCATTACATGACAGGGCCACTTATGCCCCTCGCACGAGGAAAAGCAACAAGTACCATTTTACAACGTCGTTTAGTATGGCTCGGTCACCGGACTGGCGCTCCATCCACAACTCCGCGTAGACTGTCAGTGTCGTATTAAATTTTTTATTATTCCAGCATGATCACGGAGGGGTACATATAGTAATGTCTTCTCATGATGTACTCATGTGGCGAATCCAACCCTAGTGAACTGACGTTTTTACCACGTACTGCACGTTCTAATCTTGTCGTTAATTGACGACGATGTAGTCAAGTTATATGGTGAAAGCTATGCAAGTCATCTTCATAATTACGGGAAGGCTATTGTCCAAATCAAATTTGCCATCTGGCTATCGATGCAAGTGAATTGAATTAAGAAACCACTTATCTTCTTGTTTTCCAGAAGACACCGTTTCACATGAAAATGTTGGTTACCGTTACTCTTTCTACGACGTGGAGTTTAATAAACAGGACTCGGATACATTTTGCTTCCTTGTTGGAGAAGAACCATTGAATCTTACCGACAATGCCAGAAATAACTCTTTTGTGCAGGTTCTGAAGCAACAAACAGAGTTACCAATGTAAGCATGCCATTGCTTGATGATTTACCCATTAAGTTAACACTTCAGCACGTGCCGTTTATTTGCAACTTGTATCTATATATTGTACGAATGGAAATTTTGAACACATTTGTTTAGTAACAACCATCTAAAATGTTCAGTGGAATACTAAATGACGAGATAAAAAGGATATTACACATATTTATGTTTTTTATGTGTCATCACCGGTATCCGTTACCATATTTTTTTAAATTGTCATACTCATTTATAGCTTAATTATTTATTTTTATTTATTTTATTGCGTAGTTTTGATAGATTGCTGAAACGTTAATACAAGAATCAATATTTCCTCAGATGGACACCAAGTCCTGGAACTGTTACCCAAAATATTGTTCAAATTGATTTTTTTATTTATTTTGAATATGAATGACCATTTTGTAAGCAAAAGCAGTTGATGTTTGTGATAAAATGAATACAAGATACGATTAGTGTTAAAATGTCTAGTTTGTAAGGCAATATTTAATTTAGTTGATATATTGTTTTCTTGAATGCTCTCATTCCTTATATATTATTTCTATTTTGTATGTATTTTTTTTTATTTTAGAAAATTTGATCAGGGTTTTGTTTGTTTTACTATGAATTATTTGTCTACCTTTTCTTTATGTTACTGCCAGTTTTGTGACGTCTTGAAACGTTTTGTCTCATTTATAGTTGAAACAAAATGTACAGTGTTCTTATGCCAATCCCAACGCAAATTTTGACTTCCCAATCACAATACAAAATAAAATAAAGTACTAAGCCCGGATGTAAAAAATAAGTTTGAATTTACACATATAAACACATGGTTGAATAAACACATGGCATGTATATGAGAATTTACCAACTGGACACACTTGTATGCATTATATCGAACTGTTAACACTGTTGTGAACAGTAATGTGGTAATGATATCACACTTTGTAGCCATGATGATATCTGGGTGGAACTTGCACCGTCAGAGACGGCAAGCTGCAACGTCATCACAACAGGTGCGACGCTCAACTCTACAACCAAGAACTGCAATGGACTGGCACAACCAGTATGTTTTACTGACAAATGTGAGTTGACAAGCCATAAGAAGGAGACACAAAGTTACAGTCCAGTGTGCATGGGCGGTTTTGAATGACACAACGAGTATCGATCAGAATAATAATATATTAAGCTATTTATGATATTAATGACAGTAAGTAACTCCATCTTCTTCTGGGTGAAGGTAATGGTCTCCCGTCACGACCAGTTTTATTCCCGATTACGATTAGGTCCCTAGTGACATTTGCTTGTCAGTACATGTATCGCATGATCAGATTTAGTGTCTGATTGAGTGTGATGATATTCCCACGGCGTGGGTACATTACACAATGTTCTCTGTTCACACCTGATTATACAGGCCGCCCTGATACAGGTGAATTATTGCTGACTTGGATTCAAAACAACGAACACACATATTAAAGGGTCACTAAGCGATGCAATACACCTTGTAACAACGACGTAAGCCTGAAACTACACACATTTTATGGACGATCTATTGCAACGATAATATTTTCTTTGATTTTAACTAAAATACAAAATATCACATTCATATGAGTTTGTGCCAAATACTACATGTATACTGATCGTACCGAGTCAATGCAAGACTCACTCACTCACCTCATCAAGGACATCTGAAAGTTTATGAAGTGAATGAGGAATGGTATGTCCCAATGGCCATTCAGATTCGTATATCTGTCGCAATGGAAAATATAATAATGAACATAAACCAACATAATAAACACCAGAAATTTAAGAACCTATTCTAAAAAATCACTTGCATGGACGTCGATGACACCAGCTGTCAGAGCTAATCTGAATGAAGGTCAATGTCTTCATAGATTTCACTTCGAGAATATTCAATTTGATTTCATGACGCGGTTTTACACTGCAAATCAATGTGACTACATAATCCCTTTATCCACTTCTTATGTGTCGCATCTACCTTTTGGCAGTTGACTGTGTGTTTCGGATTTACAAAGACGTGACTATTCCTGGAGAGGATTTTCTGCATCTGCCCGGCTTGGGTCGTTCGCTCTGTAGGGACATTTGCTCACGGCTGAAGTCCAGAAGCAAAATTTGTGTGGGTCTGGAACATGACAGGGGCACCGACTGCAGGCTGGTGATGAGACAGCAGCTCCTGACACCTTCATCTCCTGATACTGTCAGCCGTTCTGGCAATGAGTTACATGTGGTAGAATGCAACTTTGGTAAGTACCTTAAGCAATCCGACGCTTACATTTAATATTTTTGTTTGTTATTTTTTTGCATAATTCAGTATTAAAGCACTATGACACACATCATGTCTGGACCAGCGAAGCCAGTGATGGATATTATGAGCAATGTCTAACGCCTTCAGAGTACGATGACACTCAGTCAACCGAGTCACCGAGCAAGCTATTTATATAAGCCACTTAACTGCCTCACCTGACATGCATATATTGCTTGGGAACCTTTGTCTAATCCGAAATCTCGTTTGACATCAGTTAATCAACTCACAAAACAAGATTCATCAGGAGATGACATATACCCCCGGCTACTGGTACCCCACTTTTGGTTCATTGCAATAGGAATATACCTTTAATTCAGTTAAGAAAAACATAATGCTGTTCAGCATTTTTCAAAATCCCCAATTATCAAACGGTTCACCACTATATTGTTTTCTTCAAGAAATAGTCAACGATTTGGGGGTTCTACTCCAGAAACGAGCACCCTCATGTTCATTTTTCAGACCAACTGGTCATCCCGAAAACCTATTTTTTTCTTAAAATCCCAAAACATCAAAAGACACCAGTTCACCAGGAGACTAATCTATGTAGGAAGTTTCATCAAGAAATATTTAACGACTTTGGAGTTCTGCTCCGCAAACGGAAAACAATTTTTTTTAACATGACAAATCATGGAAAAAATTTAAAAAAATTTAATCCAAATCACCAAAAGGCATCAGTACACACAATAATGATCTATTTAAAAAAGTTCCAACAAGAAATATTTAACGGTTTTGGAGTTTGGAGTTGACGGACGGACATGGTGATCGCTATATCCCACCATTTGCCAAACGAGGTGGACAAAAATACCTACGAGAATTAGCCAAAATGTCTGGAAGCAGCGTGAAAAATATCAATTTGGAAACCTTCTACACTGAAATAGATGACATTTACCCAGACTAATTATATAAAATGTAACGCAACACCTGTCTTCAATAAGCGTATGTATAAGCTAAACATATACGATTTAATCAATAATATCTGGAAACATGATAAATATTGACTGTGTTAATTTTCTGAATCATACTTTTCTTTAACATTATAATTTTTATACTCAAATACGTAGGCTGAATTATCTCTGGCGTTGACGTGTTGCATTCATGTACTTGCAGGTTCATTTCTGAACCAAACAACTACAGCAAAGACATTCAGTGTCCATGGCATACGTCTGAGCAGGGACGCAGCGACCGAGTTCTGCACACAGATTGGAAGTCAGCCTCTTCAGCCATACTCTATTACGGAATTGCCTGCCATCTTTGACATCTTGCATTATTGGCAGCACTTGAACTTCTTGTAAATAATATTCTTTCTTTCTTTTTACCAATATTCATTCATTCATATCTTAAGAACCTTAACTGTGGCAAAGGTGGTCCAGTCGTCTAGGTCTCTGTGATCCACCTCGTCCAGCTGCCTCCTTTTGGCAGGCTATGATCCTATCTTTAATGGTTTTCAATCATAGAATATGCCAGATTATCCCATATTCTGAATCGATTATCAAACTCATCCTTGTACTCGTACCTTTTAACAAAGTAATAAAATATAAGGTGTGCATCACTGAGATAACTGAAACCACAAACCACAGTTCACGCGGTCGTAATCGTATCTTTGGCAATTCGATGTTTTGGCCCCCGTTTACGTGCGTACAGTCCATATAAACGGACACTCGTTTGAAGAGTAACATTTATTTCGGAATATATGAACAATTGAGAACCACATCGGTGATACGAAAAGGATTTTGTTCCAGTTCGTACCGTGCCAGAATATTCGACAAGACACTGTTCGGTTTGGAGATTGAAAATGTACAAATAACACATTGTAAGTAAGTAATAACATTGGTATACTGTTGCCATAGTTACAACGTAGGTCAGATATTGCAAGGTGAGGTGAGGTGAAATGGGGTTTAACGTCGCACCCAAGATTATTGTACTTATATAGCGAAGTGCATGTACGTGTGTGTGTTTGTGTGGCTGCTTGTACTAGTCCGGACTGATGCCGATTTATAGTGCTAGCTCACTGAAAGACCATGCCGCAGTTTAACATGAATACCCCACTCAGACACAGTATACTGACTCCGAGCCGACCAGTCCATGTTTTAGCCCCTTAATGCCGAGCGCCAGACAGGGTAACAACAAGTACCATCTTTTAACGTCTTTTGGTAAGGCTCGTCCGGGGATCGAACCCCGGACCTTCCGCTCTCCGGGCGGACGCTCTACCACTAGACCAAGGAAGCGGTCCGATATTGCAGGGACACATCTGACAATATAATACATATAAATATGATACTTGATATGACAATGTTCTGTCGATATATGGCATTAATATTGACATTCACATTGGAAGATTTCGATATTGCTGAACGCCGAAGCCTTAAATCTCCATTGTATTTTGTATTTACATCAGTGGAAATTGAATCGTTACGTTTTACATGTATTCACAGAACAATTTTTTTCAACAAGAAGCCTTTGATGCCCTTTATTATAGGCCTGGTTTAAGCAAACATAAACAAGGGCGACGCCATGTTTGTTTATAAAACACTGAAAGTAGTCCCTACTTGACCTTTGATATTTGCATCTCTATCCGCACATGACACCAACGGATATCGTTTTTATCCGTTGGCTTTATCCTGCCGAGAAACCTACCCATTGTATGATAAATTTGTATATCGATATGATCAGATGTTCCATAATGTTTCAATAAACGATGTTTCATTTTCAGGTGAACAATTGACGTGTCTTTGCATATGAGTGAGTGAGTGAGTTGGGTTTAACGCCGCTTTTAACGGCGCTTTTAACATTATTCCAGTTATATCACGGCGTGTCAGCTTAATGTGGGAGGAAAGCCCGAAGTGATGCAGGTCTCGGACGTTTATCACTTCGGTGAAACCCACGAGCACGGGTATTGTGCTGACAAACCTAGAAACATAATAGGGACGAACCGGGATTCGTACCAACAATCATAGGTTTCTGGCGTGCCCGAGGGACGCAACTCTTCACAGCGAATCGCCACGCCTTAGACGACTGGGCCACCCGTGGCCCCTTTGCATGTGTTTGTGACGGGTGTGGGGCAGGATTTGCTAAACGTTTCGGGAACACGTGGTATCATCACTTTTTCATAGTGATTCATAAACACACATGCTTATGATGTAGTCGGAATTTGACAATGTATTTCTGATGATTATGGAAAGTGTTTTGCCGGTTCCATTCAATGTGCGTGGAAGGACTACTTCAACGCAAAAATTACGTTTTTATTTGTAGCGCGGATTTGGATCACGTTTGGACCAACGTGGATCGTGTGATGATGGGACGAGTGGTCTCTCACCTTATGTCTTTTGACGACACAGAGGGCGATTCGTGTGTCGCCTTGAACCATATCAAAGCTACATGGACGCCGTATACTTGTGAAGCAGTTGGTTATGTTGTATGTCAAACTATCGATGGTGGGTATACGTGTTTTGTATCCCCAGTTCTCCCCGAAGGAATGAGCCAACGAGTTTGGGAACCACAACACTTTTTTTATAACATCCAACGAGATGTCAAATTATTTATTTTCTGAAAAGGTTATTATTTTTCTAAAACAATGTCAGGAAGATGCTAGTTTTGGCACGGAGAAAACACCTTGAGCCTGACGAGCATCAGATAATGGACATTGATAGAGTACATTAAGTAGAGTCTAGCCTTTGGGAAATCTTTGTTTGATGAAACAATTTGGAGAGCGACCTCTATACACGTAATTCATTTTGTTCATCTAGATTAAAAAAAGAATCGGCTTCCTTGAATTCTACGAAAACGGGTAGCTTCGGGTATTAATGATGCAGAAAGTAGATTATCTTCAAGGATGAAAGTACATAGCGCATTGAAAATCTTATTTAAAGGAAATTTGAGTAGTGGCACGTAGTTAAATTTCAGACGTGTATTTTCGTGAAACTCCAAATGCAGATGTTTTAAGATTACTACCACGATATGTGCGAATGTATTAAATGTCATTGCCTTGTATATACGTGTTGCAATGGGCCGACAGTCGTAAATCAACAGAAATACAGAGACATAGCGGCAGCACCAGTACCGTTCTCTACTAATCTCTTCCAAAGGTAAATGCAACATGGAAGATTTTCCTCTGAAGTCTCTTGCTGACAGAAGCAATTCTCTGGAGGTGACGGCAGCCACTGCTGGTGCATGTCAGGCATGGTGCATGGCCCTCGCAGCATCGTTTAAGGAATGTGTTGCGGCTGAATTTGACACATCATCCTGCACTGTATTCATCAGTGACAGCGTGTATGTAACAGACCTTCCTCAGATGACAGCATCAAGGACAGCTACAGTTTTCATTCGAAGATGTTTTTCGGGTAAGAGGACGTATAGTGTTACATTTGGACCTTATTACTCGCTTTTGATTTTGTACACTCGATAGCAGTTTCTTTTGCACCTGACAGTTTAAGCCAATTCTCTTACACAACCATAACCTGCTTTCAGGAGTAACTTAGACATATATGAAGTAGAGCATATTTAGTTGCAATGAGGTATAATGTCAAAACCACAAGCATGGCGAAGACGGTATTAAAATGATCGAGCCAATCCATCACGTCGCTTAAAATACTGTGTTTGTGCCAAAGTGGGGCATCCACTGACAATGTGTTGGACAGTCTCATTATATTCATTGCAAAATATACATTTCATATTTACATTTTGATGCAAAATCACATATTGACGGTTTCGAGTGGGAAGTGACTGGTCCTGAGCAGCAAACAGAAATCCTTCTGTTTCACTTTTCAGGCCAGCCAACTTCATCCAAGCGAAGGACTCTTCGGGGTTGCTTATCCTGTAACCACACTGCACATAAACACGATGCAGTGGTCGTTCAGTTAACCTCTAATGGAAAAAAAACAGAGGCTCAGTCGATTTCATGTGGCATTTCCCTTGGTTGACACTCATTTCTGTTCCGTCCAGCAGTACGGAACCATCAACAAACATTGAGATTGTGTCCCACATCCTGTAGAATGCCTTGTTTTATTATGAGTCTTGACATGCTTCACCGCATATTTGCCATGTTTTTCCTCAATCTTGTCAATCACATTAATGTCAAAGGGACAGAAAATTCAATGATATAAAAGATTTCATTGGATTTATCAAAAAGGACAAGATCAGGTTTGTTGGCCTGGATACGTCTGTTAGTATTATGTTATTATTATTATTATTATTATTATTATTATTATTATTATTATTATATTTCAAGTATTAACACCAAAGAAAGTTGAACTGACAGCTTACAACTTCACCATGTTCGACACGCCCGTGACCCATGGTCAAGCGATTGCCGCATGCAGGAGGGAAGGCCTGGAAATGATAAAACTTGATAACGAATCGTCATCTGCCTTATCAATGGTGTATGACAGGTATGTCAGAACAATAAACGATTTTGTGTTGTCTTGGTAGTTTTCTTATGAATCTATACTACTATTTACTTACTTCCGATATTTGATCCTTTCAAAGTTACAATTGTTCATTTAATGATAGTGTTAAGTTGTTTCATTCGAAGCTTTTTTACAAGAACCACGGAATATACTTTGCAATGAAAATCGTGCATACATGTTCACTTCTCCCCACAAGGGAAATATATGGCCTGGTCAAATGCAATGTTTTTTCCCATCAATTTATATAACAAAATTATCAACAAGTGAGATTCGATAAATAACTACGTAATTGTACTTAATATCAGTACCATGTCATGAAAATGGATATGATTACTGGCAAATCCTGATACGTGCAATTGCTTTTTTAACACTTGTGTTGCGAAAACCTTTTTATATTGTTTTTCCTATTCTATACCAAGGTCCAAGACGTCATGGCTTGGTCTGGAGCAAATGCCCATTCCACAAGGAGCGGCCACCTGGACAGATGGGAGCCAAGTCTCATGGACAAACTGGGCTCCACAGGGGTTTCCTGTACCTGGCCAGTGTGTTGTTCTAAATAGCACTGCCCTCAACTTCAGATGGACAATGGATAACTGCAGCAATAACAATTATGCCTTGTGTGGGAACAGCAAAGGTATCTTGAATATATTCCTTCAACCCAGCTGTTGTCCTTTTGAAATAGTGTGTGTGGTGTGTATACTATAGCGAACATTAGTATATTCATTGGAGGGAGGGCCATTCGTGGTTCTGCTTGGTGGTAGTGCTGGAATAGTTGTGTAAATCCATTTCAAGTCATTCAATGTGACCCCTATATAACTATTGGAATAAACGTGGTTACCAACACATTGGTCAATGGAACATGCTACTGTGTACATTTTCATACAGAAAGAATATGGAGAATGAGACAAATGAATACTGAACAATATATGTTATTGTTTTTGTAAATATCAATTTTTATTATTCGACATACCACACATATATTTAATTCGTTGATTCATTGCAGGTGTATGCCAGTATGATTACTATCCTGGTCAAAAGCTACCCAACACAATGATACACATTTCAAGTATAACGGAAACAAAGTGTAAAGCCAGCTGTACTGACGTTCTCTACAACAACACAGTGTGTCGAGGTGTTAGCATAAACGATGGTCGCTGTCTACTGGACTTGGGCCAGGATATATATTACTCCATACCAGCTCTTGTGAACGCCGTATCATATGACACATATATTCGTGTCTGTCACAGAGGTAAAAATAATAAAACAATGGCCTTTGTACCTGGTACACAGTTGGACAGGTCGAGGCACATATTCTATTACGTTGTGAAATCGGTTGGTTTGCCCATTTGAACCTACCCATTATCACAGTTAAATGTAACATTTATGTTGTATTATTTCCCATTTAGATAAAAACTATTGTTATACTTCAGTGGACATTTGTACACTTTCGTCAATCCCAAGTCATGAAGAAATGAGGTCTCGTTGAAATGAACATTTACAGCTGAGATCTTGACGTTGAAATAACGCCAAACTGTTAATTTGTCTCATTAAACACATTTGAATATTCATATTGAGGACAATCCATTATCCATTTGTGTCATATTAACATTTTGGTAAAAACAATATTGAGGCGCCTTGGATGTGCATCGTTTTATTTTACAGTGAAGGAACTTCCCTACACCCAACAAAAGACTACTTTGTCATCCTCACTGGTAGAAGAAAACTCCTCGAATCTAGAACCTACTACCCATTCTTTATTGATGGGACAACCTGCAGATACTGCTATTGTCGTCACTGGTTCATCTGTAGTCGCCGGTGCATCTGTAGTCACTGGTTCATCTGTAGTCGCCGGTGCATCTGTCGTCACTGGTTCATCTGTAGTCGCCGGTGCATCTGTCGTCACTGGTTCATCTGTAGTCGCTGGTCCATCTGAAGTCGCCAGTGCATCTGTAGTCGCCGGTGCTACTGTCGTCACTGGTTCATCTGTAGTCGCCGGTGCTACTGTCGTCACTGGTTCATCTGTAGTCGCCGGTGCTACTGTCGTCACTGGTTCATCTGTAGTCGCCGGTGCATCTGTCGTCACTGGTTCATCTGTAGTCGCCGGTGCATCTGTCGTCACTGGTTCATCTGTAGTCGCCGGTGCTACTGTCGTCACTGGTTCATCTGTAGTCGCCGGTGCTACTGTTGTCACTGGTTCATCTGTAGTCGCTGGTCCATCTGAAGTTGCTGGTCCATCTGTAGTCGCCGGTGCTACTGTCGTCACTGGTTCATCTGTAGTCGCCGATGCTACTGTCGTCACTGGTTCATCTGTAGTCGCCGGTGCTACTGTCGTCACTGGTTCATCTGTAATCGCTGGTCCATCTGAAGTTGCTGGTCCATCTGTAGTCGCTGGTCCATCTGTAGTCGCTGGTCCATCTGAAGTTGCTGGTCCATCTGTAATCGCTGGTGCATCTGTAAGCGCTGGTCCATCTGAAATTGCTGGTTCATCTGTAGTCGCTGGTGCATCTGTTAAAACTGTTTCATCTGGACCTACTGATGCCACAACTAATACTGTGAATGGGGGAAACAGTTCTAACAGTGTTTGGATCAACGAGAATGGACGAATCGGTGAGCATGATATTTTGGAAAGGTAGAGTATGACAGTAGAAATGGAGACTTAATAAACTGGCTTGGAAGGATTCACAAATATGATTCTGCAATATTGTAGTCACTTCTGTCACCCTTGTGTCACAGGGTGCATTATATTGGTGACGACCTTTCAGTGAACCCTGGTGTTCAAATACGTCCTATCCTACATTTATCACCTATCTGAGAATTTGTGAGAACATTTATAGTTTGCGCTTCATGGTCATATCACATTAATGTTAAGAGCCCATCCTACATGTTAGTAATTAGCGGGAACACAAGGCTCTCAAGGACATGGTATTTCTTGTCGGTGACCCCATGTCGGTGTTGAACAAGGAGTTCTGCTTATTAATTATCTCAATGCAACGTTTTTGTACAGATACTCATGGTACCTTCACCGAACACTGATTGAAGGAACAGACAGGAATCAATAAGTCAACTCTACCGTCATTGACATGAATACTTTTAAAATGTCACTCGTTCAGGATTAGGCATAACCGTGTTGTTGTCTGACTTCCCTCACTCGAATATGGAACTCACTCACTGGAATATATATTAACAACAGCAATTTCCGACTACGTAAGTCCATTCACTCAAACAAACACCTGTTTCAAAGCAATATTATAAAACATGGTTTTTTTCAGTTCGCTCAGTGTGTGTGTGCCGATGCAGAGTGCAGTTGCCAGAGACACGGCTGTTGATGTCCGAAAAGATAAAGGTTCTTCGGGAGGATCTGATTGTGATGAGGAGCAACGTATCTTCCTTCCGCCGTTCCAAGACCTCTGCCGTAAATAAAAAGGCAACAGTGGTTGCAGTAGGAAGCGGACTGGGCATCAGTATTTTTGCCATGATGTTTGTTACCCTGCTTATTCTGGACTTCACTAACGTCTGTAGAATGATTTCTAGGAATATTCATACACATTCCCGTGTTTCGCAGCGCTAAGATTATTATATATACTGAGTCAAATTAAAAACTTCACATTTTTAAAAGTAATCCCATATATGATATACAACGGACAAATGTATCAGAGAAGGTAATTTTTAATCATTAATGTCCAAAGAAGGATTTTAATTAACGGTGGTAACCATAATTTGTTCCAAGCACCTACGGTATTCGGTAATAACATCAACAGTTTAAATCATAAGTCGCAAGCACGAGAATCTGATGGCACACAAGTTCAGTAGCATGTATGGCCACCCTGTGCGTTGACAACTGCCACACAACGCCTCCGCATGGACCTTGTGATGCTTGTGAACACATGATTGGGAAGACGACCCATTGTTGCTGCAAAATGGTGCCAAGATCTTGCAAATTCTGTGGTTGGTTCTGGAGAGTGCGCAGACTTCTGCCAAGAGCATCCCAGACGTGTTCGATGGGATTGAGGTCGGGAGACCTTGACGGCCAGTCCATGACGTTGACTCCCGCATTCCGAAGGAAATTCCTTGTCACAATTGCTGTGTGGGGTCTGGCATTGTCGTGTTGGAAGATCAAACCGGGTCCATGTGCTGCCATAAAAGGCAGAAGTTCTGGTGCCAGTACCTGGTCGCGGTAAGCAGCAGCGTTGAGGTTGCCACGGATGACAAGAAGCCTGGAACGTGCATTGCCACAGAAAGCACCCTGTCAACTCTGTCAACTTCCTGTACACAACACTGGGCGTAACGTTCATGACGGCGCCTCCACACCCACGCCCTACCATCAGCAAATCGAAGATTAAATCGGGATTCATCACTGAAGACGACTTGATTCCAATTCCTCTGAGTCCATCGTAAGTGTCGCTGTGCCCACAATTGAAGTTGACGTCTGTGTAATTGAGTCAGAATCGGCCCGCAGTATGGCCGTCGTGCTTGAAGGTGAGCAGATCTCAGACGGTTTCGAACAGCTTGCGCACTCAGTCTACCCCTAAACAGTTAATTTCTGGTTGATGTAGCCGTCAAAAATCGGTAACGGAGGTGACCTAAGACAATCGAACGATCCTCTGCATGTGACGTCACACGTGGTCGACCTGGCCGAGGGCGATCAGCGGTGGTACCCGTTTGCTGTAGACGCGTCTGTAAATCATAAACAGTTCGTCGACTACAACCCATCGTCCTTGCGACTTCAGCTACGGACGTTCCCGTTTGCAACATGCCGATGGCACGTTCACGTTGCACATTTGAAAAGCGTGGCATGACAAATGGCCGTAAAGACTTTTGTTTTCTTGTATTCTTCTTTTTTTGTTAATGATTGCAAACAAGCATGGCTGAAAACACGTGCGGTATTATGGCCATGTGACCAGTTGCACGTGAAAAAACACTTTTGCCACTATAGTGCTGTGCACATGATTTTGATCGATTCACCTGCACAAAAACGGGTGTTATCTGAAGGCAATACGTGGCCATTACTGTTTAAATACACAATAAGGGCTCACAATGATAACTGGTCAAAATGTTAACATTTTAGGATTGTGAAGTTTTTAATTTGGTTCAGTATATTTACAAATCATCAGTTCTCCATGATTGTTACATTGATATACATCATAAATACCACAGTTATAAAATGTGGTATCTCGATGTAAGATGTGTAACAAGTGTAGATATGGAAATTCACTACATAGTATCACAAATAATATGGACAATTATGACACGTGTAGTAGACTGAACATTTAATCTGTGTAACATAAACCATGCATTGAGAGCCAGTTGTTTTTTGTTTAACGCCGCACTGGGCAATATTCCAGCTAAATGACGGCTGTCTCTAAATAAGCTGTCTGTAAATACTCGAATCTGGACCAGACAGTCCAGTGATTGATATCATGAGCATCGATCCACGTAATTGGGATACGATGACATGCATCAACCAACTCAGCGAGCCTGACCACCCGATCGCATCAGTTACGTTAGATACGACAAGCATGGGTGGCTGAAGACCAATTCTAACCCGGATCTTCACGGGTCTCCATGTTCAGCCACTCATGCTCTACGGTAACAATGTGATCTATACGTGTCCGTGCCGCAAAATGTCCTACCGAGATTTACACAACGTCACGTGGGAATTACGTCGGGGCAAACGACAGAACAGTCCACATGATACACTTTGGGAAGAGGGTTCAACCAATTACCGTACCACCTCTAAACTGAGCGCGGGATTGTGGGTAAGATGGTCGTTGCATAATGGCCACCAGGAGAGGTAAACATTGAGCTAAAGCAGTGTTGTTTTCACGGGCTTGTTGAACAAATTCCCAGCGCTCAATCAATATATCTTCTACTTGATCCTAGATACGTCATTGTGACATTTTCAATATATATTTTTCAACATACATTAATTGTTTACTGGTCATATCTTTAAGAGTATTTGTCAATTGTGTTGAGCAACAAGTGTAATTTGTAGTGACATGTAAATATAAAACAATGTATGTATTGTAAACAAGTGTACATTTGTAAATAGCACAGTCTAATTGTCCATCTAATAACACAAATAATCAATACGATACATACATGTATGTATATGAACTACTTCTGACATATATGTAAAACTAGGATACATATATATGTGTGTGTGCACATTTATACTATAGATGTTGTCATTTCACTGTATACCTTGAAATCATCATGAAATGGAGGAAATAAAGAAGATCTATCTATCTATCATTCATGACCAGGAGGAAAACTGATTAAACAAAGGGAAGAAGCTTGCCCTTACATATATGTAGAGACATCATCTGAATATGACTATATATGTAAATGTTACGACACTGTACCTATCTTCACGAATTATTAAAAAATGGGCATTAGGTTCATGGAAACGAAGGCTATAGATACATATAGAATACTAAACGAGCTCCCGTGTAATACCAAGTTTAGTAGTTTAGGAGCGAGTTTAGTATTCTATTTATTACTGGCCATTTATAACGTTTTTAGAATTATACTGTTGAGTGTGAATAGGCTGACACCTACACGATCCACGGCATAATCCAACTGAGTTTAACACAGTAATACTTCAAATACGTCAAAAGTTGAAACGTATGAATTTAATACCATCCAACGGTCCACCTTTAGAATTCAGGCGTCCGTTCCACAAAATTATCGTAGCGTTAAGGTTATCGTAACTCATATACTTTAACTTAGACCAACGACTGTCGTCGCGCTACCGTACGATCGCCTTGTGGAACGGGGCCTTGCACCTCAAAGTTTACAATCACGTCACAATACCCGATGACGTAATTTGTGGAATTTTGTTGCAAGATCCTTCGGCGAAACAATGCCATGTGACGTCAACCTAGCAACAAGGTTGCTGGGGTCATCCAGTGTGCATAAGCTCCTCTCAGTGATCTATCATCTCCACACGCAATGTTGTTGAATAAGCCAAGGAATGTTGAGAGCTCTCAATATTTGTTCGTGAAACGTGTTCCGAGTGTACATAAGCACGCGTTTTGGTATTACACAATGTGTAATACAGCTGTATGTTTATTAAACGGATGATCTCTTCACGGGCAAGTAATAAAATACCATATTCGATTTTTTAGATGATAAAGTACATTATTTGATAATAAATTCAGTTATTGGTATCTAAAAATCGATTTGCGATGTCAATAAACATTTCATGATAAAATAAAATATTTGTGATATGAATTCATTTTATTGTTTCCTTAAATGAATTATTGATATCAAATAAGGAATAAAAGGTAAAAAGGCGCTCTTTATATTGTTCTTTGTGGATTGTATTAAGTAACGCGATTGCATCACGGTTATAGTGTTTATTGCTAGACTTTTTTCTGCACAATCATTTCTTTCATCATATGGAAATATGTTTAAAAAATGGCAACTTATAATTAACCAAGGTAATAATACTTACCCAACTTGCGTTTATTTATCTCTCTGTCATTATGATCGTTAACATGTGTCTACTTTTAAATGTATATACTTATGCCATACATCATACTGATTAAGGAATGACACATCATCATAAGATATATGTACTCCATACACATGCAGCACAACGGTACTTTTATTCTATAGTACAGAAAATCGTTACCTCGAATGACCACTTCGTTCACCCTTTGTTTTCAGACGTGTCATTCAGACAAATAAGTCAAGTGTGACAGTTATCACAATCTCGCCGGTTATAAAGATTTGATACATGCCGACTGACGCTCTTGATGGGTCAGTGATTAAGACAACAGATCAATACACACGATTCCTTTTCAGTATGTACGTCTGATTATATGGCTGTGTGTATGCATGGTATGTATGGCTGTATGTATGCATGGTATGTGTGGCTGTATGTATGAATACATGTAGGTAAATCATGTGTGTGCGTGCGTGTGTGTAAATGTATGTGTAAATGTATGTAAGCCTAGATTACAAAATAAACACTTCGGTCGTTTGAAGCTAGAAGACACAGGTAATCCAGGGAAAGAAGCCTACTCTCGCAGTTGATCACTAGAGCTGAAACTTCTCTCGCGGAATACTTTTTTGAATAAAGCGAGTGGAGCAGAGTAAGCTTAGGGATTATCGGCTGTTGTGTGAAAACAATGCTTCAGAAAGATCGACGTCCTGTCCCTGTTGTCAGACAGTGGAAAAGTGTAGCAAGACAATGGTGTCGCCTTAAGCATATGTCTAGTAGGTTAAACAAACACGTGTTTAACTGGGCTGATAGATACGCTGTAAATGGTTGTAAAATTGGAATGGTAGGGTAAGAAGGAAGTTTACTAATATGGATTTAGGACATCTATTAAACGCTACAGGTTTTATTGATAAATTTTCTGTTTGTACACAGGTGGAACAATGGTGTAAAAATGAATATGTTACCCGTTGGAGTGATATGTTAAGAAAGGAAGAGGGGCGAAATGGGCTTAATAAATTGAGAATGTATCGATGTTACAAACAAGTATATGGGACAGAATACTATGTTTCAAATAAAATGCCCAGAAACTAAAGATCGGCACTAGCCAAGTTTAGATGTGGAGTGGCTCCTATTCGAGTGGAAACCGGTCGATACGAAGGTGTACCTG